TTTTTTTTTGTTGTTTTTTTATTACACCCAATATATATCGCTTTTTTGCCATTTGTGTTTACAAAGTTTTAGGAATTAAATATAATTTCAAAATCTACTTTGTAACCTTTACACTAGTCGGTTGGAAGGAAAAAGATATAACTTTTAGTTTAAGTGTCCACCCTCCTATTAATTCCTGGCTCCGCCCTAGTGCACAAGGCTTTTCCATCCTAGCCGAAGTACCTCAAATTCAAAGTAGTTTGATATTTTTTACCTTAGTGCAACCAGAGTAATAAAAATCTCTGCCCACAGACTGAATTTTTTGGGCAGGACTCAGGATGGGTTCAGGTTGACCTTTCCATGTTGCACCACCATGTGGAAGCATTTCACCACAACTATCCTTCACAACGGAGGCAAAGAGAACAACAAATACCTGTTATTTTGAATGTCCAATCGTTCCAGCACTCCATTTTGTTGTTCATCTTTCACTTTTTGAAAGAGGTGAGAAGAACTGAAGAACAAATGAAGCAGAGTTAGATGGAAAACAAACTCAGAAAGGTCAAATGGATACTTCTATTTGAAGTAATACCTGGTGCATTGAAATGAAAACAACAGTTATATCCCTAAAAGAAGTTTATGGTCAAAGTATGACCAAACAACGCAGCAGAGGCAATGCCGGTAAAGATTGTGGCAACAGTTGATGAATATTTCTTCAAAATTGTATCTGAGTGCATCAAATGAAGACTTAGATTCAAGGAGTCATAAGACATCACACATATAAGTCAAACTAACAAGCTATGATTAATGAAAAAAAGGTTCTAAACTGTGAAGTATTGCTCAATATTTGGTGCAAGAACTGAATTATTAGACAACTACGCAAAGAAATCTCACCAGCATATTTGAAGAAAAAGGAGGATAAAATTCCTTGTGCTGCATTGTTACATATTAAAAGCATGGTAGCTTTTGAATGTCCTTGTAAAATATCAAAGTTACTGGGACCTGAAATATTCAAAATAAAAAAAATCAGAGCCACAGTTTTAACCTAGATATCTCCTGAACCAACTGCAATAAAACATCTTAAGGTATATTCAGATGTCCTATATCAAGTATGGTTGTGGCAAAAAGAAACTGGGAGCTTCAACAAAATAACTGCATTTCAGCTAAAAACAAAAATCATAAAACGCAACCACTGCAATATTCAGTGATCATTTAGGAAAGTAAATTTCCAAGCGAAAGCCAAAAGGTGTGATTATGCCATATTGCCATGTAACTCTAGTGTGTCCTTCTAATATGAATAATTCGGGCCTCCAATTCTACATGAAATAAGGTTAAATAAGTCCCTTCAGCTTCAAGTGAAAGCATGACCACAATGCAAGAGGAAGCCCAATCGCTTTTACCCAACAACTTCTATTTTTGGAACCTCTGGGCGAGAGCTAAATCTGAGTTGTTTGAAACAATAAACGGCCGAATGGCGACATATCAATATACAGACAGAGTAGCCTCTCCCGACAGTGGTAGAGGTAGCAGGCGATGCCACCAATCATAAGTCAGTTCCATGGCCAGAGAGAAATTTGCATAAATGACTCAAAAGACATTTAATTCTTATATTGTAACAAGAAAGGAAAGTAAAACCGCATACAATTCTTCAGTTCTAACACAACAGTTAACTGGAAGTAAATTACGCCAACAATTGCACAATAAATACTTGATTGATAAAGACATCCACCCTTCAATTCCAATCAAAATTGCTTGCCAGCCCTAAAATCTAGCACCAAAGATCTTTGGAGATAGGCACAAATCAACAACATTATGGAAATGCGGTGGTCGTTGCCAAAGCAAGAAGTCCTGTGCAGGATTATATAGCTCCAACATAAATGTATAGCAAAAAGATCTTTGGGGATTAGCATAAACCCACAACTTAATGAAAGGCACTGGTCATTGCCAAAGTAAGCTGCAGTCCAGGATTATATTTCTACTATCTGCTTGCGAAATTGTAGATTTTGATGCGGAGCACATGAACAAGAAAAAAGGTAATCCTAGATTTCAATGTGGCACACTGTAGAGCACGTTTAAATTTAATGTTTTGTTAGGTGCCAAAAGTGGAGGTATTTGGGGTTTCCAATAGTTACTTGACAAGGCTAGTAACCGTAGTCCATAAGCCATCTTTTGGATCAAAATAAGTCATTTGGGGTCTATATTGGGTCAAAAGGTAGAGTTCCTCAATTAGGAGGGTCCAACAGGCTGAAAATAATTAGGTAGTTGATCTATTCAGTAGAAAATTAAATGATTGGAACATGATAAATTGATAATGCATTCTATCAACTCTTTTGTTTTCTTCTAATCTTCTTCTTCTAATTTATTTATGTTCTGTTCACTTGTACTGTTCGCAGCACCCTGAAAAACCACAAAGCTACCTCTTTCTTTACCTAATTGAACTATCGGACTTTACCCCTATTTTTGTACCTTTTACAATCCTTAAATCCCTAAATTCCTATCATCTTTTAACCACAGAAACAAACCATAAGCAGCCCCTAAAAGCCCTTTGTTGACTGCCAACGTCAATTTTGACACTACAGCTTGTATGCCAGTGCTTACCTACACACATTCCTTTGGTAACAGCCAAAGTTGTTTTGGTAGTGGTGCTAAATTTTTAAAAATTTACAGCATATTTGGCACAAAGATAGGTTTCATTTGTAGCTATTCAAGATAACAATGGTCTGCAGCCCTCTAATTGACTGAAAAGCACTAGTGCCAGCAAGTAGATCTGCTCCGATGATAAAGCTCTACATGTGGAGCAGTCTAAACGGTATAAGTATTAACAAAGCAAAAAAATATTTTATTCATTCCCAATCATGGCAAGTACTGGGGTGAGTAAAACAAACAGTTACCTTCAAAAGATGTGCTTTTTATAAGTAATCACCATCGAACACTTGACATAAATACAACTCCAAAGCATACTAACTGTCAATTATTAATACCAATTGGTAGGATTGGACAAAGAGATTCATGTCAATACCTTTGAAAATGGCAATTCCAAGAATCGCTAGAAAGTTGAATATAGCACCATATCCATATAAAAACAAGTTCTGCAAGGAAAAAAAGTGTCAAAGAAAGAGCTCAAGATTGGCATCCTTAACAAAACAAGAGAACTAGAAAGTTATAGGAGAAGTACAAGGGTTTATTAAATGAATGCTTTAGATTCAAATAAAGTAGATTGATCCCAAACAAATGTTGAGTCACAGTTACCATGAATAGATTACCCCAGCTGAACCACAATCTAGGTGCAACGACTCCTAATGGGGTAGGTTTGTGATCCAAATCACATAAATCCCTGATCCTAAATTCTAATCCTAACTTGAAATTGACATTTGAAACTCGTATTAAAAATATAAAATGAATATTGATTGAATAGGATTGAAATATTAATTGACTATGTCAGTATGGAGGTATAATTATATGTAATTTCATATAACAATGAAAGATATCTAGATAAAAGTCCTAGAAAAAATCACAACCCAACACCCTATACCAACTAAGTCTACCCACCTCGCACCGCGTAACGAAAAAGTGTGTTACTATGCACCCGTATAGGTACCATGTACCACACTGATTCACCCAACATTGTCATGGTGATGAAAAGATGTTGAGTCCTAAAATTATCAAATTTACATTTGCCTCGTGGTCCATCACATAAGCCACTTGAAGACAAACTCCATAAACAAGAACCCATAAAAGGAATAAAAGAATCCTCCAATTTATTTCCTTCTAGATAACCCCTGTCATAGCTTACATGCCCATAAATAAAGCTACTTGTCTGTTTCCTATACTATAAAGCAGGGAGATCTTCAAACTTGTGGCAGAGGACAGAGGACCCAGGGTAAAAGAAAAAATTCCATATTGGAACAATTTCCAGCTTAGACAAAGGCACACAGTTAAACTCACATATTCACTCCATGCACCTAGGAAACCGTACTAAGTCATTAACACAAGAACTGAAACTAAATATCTTCATTGTTCGGCCTAACGTAATTTCGGGTACAGTAGAAAAATACAGACGATTATGTAAATTATGCTAATGGAGGGAAAATATGGAGCTCTGTACTAAATGAAATTCCAGAATAGGCCTACTCAACATTATCCGTGATCACCTGAAGGTAAATGCTTGTATCATATTGACTCTTCAGAGCATATTCATTGTAAACTGAGGCCAAAGATGGAACAGTAACCTGTACATTCAAATCCAAAAGTAAGCCTCCACTGAACAGTAACAAGATAAATGAAAAACAAAGTTGTGATGAAGTCTAATCTAAAATCCACCTCATGCATATGCAGCAATTCGATGTATAGGAGGCATCAATATCTACTGGCAGCAAACAACTAAAATCACTTACAAAGACCAAAGTGTAGATGTATGCACCCGTTGCTACAGGAAGTCCCAAAGCAGTAGTACCCTCAGGCAGGGAACGCATCTGATTTATGCTAATTCCAATAAGCAACAAAGCAAGAGCCTCCCACTGTAGCAAAAATGAAACAAGGTTGCATTTGCATTTATAGTTTTTACAATTTTTTCTATTAATACATGCATCAAAATGATCAGTAAATGATGTTTTCATTGATCGTATATAATCCTTTAAATCATCCATACATCAAGCTCCTTTTTACACTTAAATAGCTAAATTGATAAAACTACTACCATTTAAAAGATGGAACTAACCTGAATGATGGAAAATCTACGCCTCATTATTACTTTCAAAAGAACAGCAATAACCAAAACCTGCATTTTCATAGCCCACAACCACAAATGAACAAAATTAATATTAAAAGATATCAAAAAAGATAAATATAACAAAATAGTATCTAGCAGCATCCTCTATTTAAGTTGCCGCCAACCATTAGCTCAAGCATTATGTCCTGCCACCCTCCCAAAGGAGAGGTACAGGAACAACTCCTGTTTGTGACATGGGAGTTTGTGTGTTACATTTCTCGCTACAGGCAAGAACTTAAGCAAGGAGTCTCGAGTTCGGTTAAGATAGCCGCTTACAAAACTAGGACAACCCTTGGTCTCATTTGTGCACTATTTATCAGGAAAAATGCAATAACAATAGCAAGAATATTACATACGTAAGTACAAAAATGAACACCAACATTTCACCTTCTATTGTAGTGTCAAATAAACTTATAAGGTTGCCAAACACTTTTGTGAGCAGTGAGATCTATGCAAAATTCATCTCCATTTGATAATAGCATTTCAAAAACGTGGTATCTATGACACTGTGAATCCCACTGTAGTGTGTTATCATGTAATCTGCAAGAAACAATTTAAGAAAAAGAAAAAGACAGACAAAGACTATACAATATAGACTCCAGTTCAAATAAGTTAGTAGACTGACTGGTAACACAGTACAGGCAAGAAAGTTGAAACTTTGAGATCCTCACTTTGGAAAAAATATTTAGGTGCACCTTAGGTGAACCCTGATTTAGATTCAGTGGAACAAAATGAGAAAGTTCTTGATGTCTGGTGATCATTTGAAGGCCACTAGATGGCAAACAGTAGGGCTCAAATCCCACTATTTAGTAGCATCAGTTATGGAAAGGCCAATAAATGACATTAAAAATCATTCCCGCAAATGAAAGGTGTTTGGAGTGAAAAGCCTGGCACAAACACAACCTTTGGCACTAGTTGCACAGAATGGCACCCACAAACTTAATCCCCAGAATTTCAAAAGACCTCGCATTCCCAGCTCCCACTCTGACTCTCATTCCCAACTCCCTCTCTGCCACATCTGCACTAGCAAGACTGGCAGTTCAAGGAGACTAGGTTTAATAAACATTACAGAAAGAAAGGTCTGGCTCTTGCTTTTTCCAATATCAACACTCTCTATCATTTAGGTTAATTGCCTGACGAGATTACTGCAACTCATTAACTCAAGAAAAAAAAACTAAAAATGCCCCATGGGGAACAAAACAATAGCTCACAAACTGAAAAGAACAGCAACAGATCATAAGTTAATTGAATCGACACGTAGAACAATGTGAAATAGGAAAGCACTCGAATCACCACTTTAGACACAATCAAGGATGTAAACAAGGGGAAAGCCCCTCGAAATGAAGCTCCTGACTAATAAAAACATTCAATTTATCACCAAAATCAGGAATTCGAGCCCTTCTAAACATAGCCAGACAATAGAGATAATAAAATTTGTACGTCCTTAGACAGGCTCCGGCTCAGCAATTACGCAACAAAAAATCCTATGGGGTAGACCAACACATTGTTCTGGCCTTTTTAATCGTCAAACCAAATATATGAATCATTGGTGTAAAACCAGTAGCAGAGAAGAAAATCTTGTTGATTTACATGATATCTCGCATATTGAGCAAGGTTGAAATACCTATTGATTCAGAATTCAGATTGACTTACTATTAGACAACACACCACAATATCCCTTCTAGCCCAGCATCCCTAATAAACTACTCTTCAATGGCGGAAATTAGTCTTCTACGGCCAAACATAATATATCTTGAGCAAGTCCACAACCAAACTCTCAGCATATGCCAAAAGCAAAATTTCTGTCATGCCACCCAATGCATCTTTTCCTTTTGTTCAATAGTACATTTCTATCTTGGTTGTGCCTCGTACTCATGTTTTGGATACAATGAGAAACCTATTCATTTGTTTCATATTTTTCCTTTTTGGGGAAATATTAAACATCAACTTATTAAGTAATCCATGTGCAAGAGCACAAAAAGTACATAACATATTTGGAAATTTTCGACATGCCCTCTTTTTTTTTTAGCTTCATATCACTTTGTGTTTCCCATTCCTTTTCTTTCTTCGGTTCCCTACTACTATCAGTCATATCATGCAGAAACCCAGCCAGTTTTCATAAACTCTTCTGTACATGGCCACCTAATGCTGACCTCCAGCAATGCCTGAAAAGGTAAGTTGGCAAACAATCCAGTCACACCAACTCTTCCATCTTCTACTACAACTAACATCCCTATCCTCCTTTTCCAGCATACTAAATCCACAGTCACATTAACCGATGTTGTTCTTCTACAGCTTCTAAAAGGTTCTACACGAATTCAACTCTATAGCAATCCCTCTGTCCCGTTAATTTGTTTTTCATTTTATTTGTATACAAAAATTATACTGTGTTTTTGAAATTTTTGTCAGAACTCTGTTGATTTTATAAACGGGTAAAACTTAATCTTAAGCCCCTCACTTTGATTAATTTTCCTTTAGTACTAGACCCCCTTCATTTCTAGTGCCTAAGAAAATTCCACATCCCGCAGCCATGCATTTTGTTTTCAGTATAATAATGACTCTTACTTTAAAACAAGTACCGTTTTATTTCTGAGGTTCATTGATTTATTTTTCGAACTTTAGGTGTTTCTGGGTTTTGATCTCTCAGTTGGATTTTGCGTCACATCTTGTATTTTAAACCTCATCATCCAAGTAAAGAGTTAGGTTTACTATGCATAACTAAACACAATGAATCAAGCTGGCTAAATTTGAGCCAGATCATGCAAAAGCAAATCCATACAGTAGAATTGATTGACCACTCGTGAAAAGGAAGTTCTACCCAGCAAGCCAAGTCCTATTTACCCTCCCACTACCAATAGAAATATAACACATCACGAAGCTAAATGTATGTTTCTCTGCTACAAGAAGCTACCAATTTTCTCAAAATTAGCCATAAAATTCTGTAAATACACCACAAACAATTGTGAAAACATAAACTAATTTATTTCATCTGCTATCATTTGTAGTATCTAGGATCCTTTCATTTTGATCCATAATTTCGGTTAACTTGGAAATGGAAATGTTACGCAATTTTTGTGAAAACATAATGAAAACAAAGAAAAAATGTAAAATTTTGATTTCCAAAACATTGGCCGAAAAATTCTGAAACATCCTGAAAAATGGGAATTTCAATTTTTTGTTATTGATTCGCTTTAATTTTCACGGAAACATTTCGGCCGTTACAATAAAAATGAAACCAAATGAAATTTTGATCCTCGGACAATATAATACAGAATGATGGAACCAACAAAAAGCTAGCACCAAAAACATCAATACACAAGAAGACGAAATCCAAAAGCCATGAACGATTAATGTTACGGTGAACAATATTTTCTTAGTAACTAACATCATATATGTAAATAAGATCACAATATACCTTCAGATTGCTAAGCATCTTCACAGTCGCAGGATTGAAATACAGCTGCACAAGAAGTTTGCATAATTAAATCACTTGCGACAGACAATATATTCAGAAAACTTGCATCAAATTGGACAAAAATTCAATCAAGACAAAGTTCAATGAAGTTACAAAACAAATAATGAGCCACAGTATCAAAATTCACTAAACCACCTAGGCAATGAAATTACAAGTCATCACGACAGTAGCCAACAAATAATAGTTACAGAAAATGCAACCGTGGAAACTCTTCCTTTTCTTTAATTGATAGGCATTCCGTTGTGCATAATGTGCCATTAAATTTTTTCCAAAAGATTTCATCACATTTTTCTCACTTCTTTCAACTAAGCATTAAGTATTTGATACTTGATCCTGCTAAATTATCCTGTGTACTGAAAGTTGAAATACAAAAAATGTCCCCTTTGTTGGTTTGAACTAATATCAATTAAGAGAAAAACAGAAACAAGGCACCCCCTCCCTAACACCTCCTTTCCTATTATTCCAGTGAGCAGGTACGCAAGCTCTCATCTCCAGCCACCCTCTTCTTCTCCAGTTTAGTTATAGGCTTCTCTCATGTGTGTGTGTGTATAGGTGAAACAACTATCTTGTATCAGGCCAGATGCTCCTTCAGAGCTCATGACCACAACCTCTTAGATCAGTCTGTTAATCTCTATCAATTTTAGTGAAGAAAAGTATTGATAGAGAATGTTGTGTCCTTACCCAATGTTTTATAAGCCAAAGTTTTCACCAGAGCTATTGATCACCACCTCCTAGCTCAGACAATTAACCTCCATGAAGTCCGGTGAAGAAGATATACATTGAGGATGCCCATGACCTTTCCGAATGTCACCACCACTGTCCAAACTACTACTATCAACAACTTCTACCTCATTTTATGCCCTTTGGAATACACCAAAGCAGGGACCGTCATCCATTAATCTCTACTGATTGCAGCAAAGGCTTGGAGATTGAGATAAAAAATTAAATGATTTCTCCAAAGAAAGGTGAGTGAGGTTTTTTTTCTCTGCGGGGGGGGGGGGGGGGGGGGGGGTGGGGGGAGGCAGAAAAGGGTGGCCACTAAGGAAGCAGAAAGAGAAGCTTCTTGGGAGCGGTCAGTTGGAAAGGGTGAGGGAAGGAAGTCAGACTACTATTCCACTACATTTCATGAGCTAACCATATGATAAAATATTGGCTGTTCATGTTTGGGTACACATTTAACCCACCAGCAGAACAGGTAGGTTAACAAAACCTTAACTTTGTGTAAGACATGACCACATTTCATGATAAATCCAGGAAAAAATTGAACAAAACTAGGATACGGCAATTTTATATGTGTTACAACTCCGTAGGCAGCTCCATTTTCAGTTCATATTTGATTCCCCTCTTTGAGACCACAAGTATCATCTTAACTTAACCTTAATCCCCAACCACTAAAACACATATCATTTCTGGACTAAATCTATCTTGGACCATAGTCCTCACTGACTCAAATGCCATCACATTTATTGTTGTTCCCTTGAGTCAAATTCTTCCAAAAGCTAAAATTATTACATTACAACAATCAATGGCTCTACATTATAACAATCAAAGAATTCATGCAGCTGATGCCAAGCACTTGGGATAAAAACTTTGTTCAGTTCATAAGTGACCTATTCCACACAGCTTAATAAACTTAACAAAGCCTTGGCCCTAACAAAATTGTTCATCATTAAAAGTTGACCTCCCCTCTTAGTTCTACCCTCATCCTAACAGCAGCAACTGCATGTTAAGCCAGTGTCCTAACAGTTTCAGTGCCTAGGAATCCAATTACCAACTTAAAAAAAAAAATATCTTGGTCACATTATTGCAACCAACATTTCTTATCTAAGAAACTCAGACAACGATAACACCAACTTGAGCTAGCATTCATAAGTCATTCAACCATGTAGGCATAAGCTGCTCTTCAGAAGCACATACATATGCTTGGAAGTGGAAAGTAATTGCAATGACTATACCTGCATGACAAACTTTAGATAGTTATTGATTGCATAGAGAAACGCTGGAACTGCAAGTAGCACATTACTGCGAGCAGCCTGCAAGGAATACAATAGTTACATTACCATAGGCCTCATGTTAAACAATCAACCAAATACCAAAGCTCAGGTACATAAGATTAACATAAAAATACATGATTTTTAAGGGTGTAAAAACACATTCAAAAAAAAATTTAAAAAGCTAAAGCTTCTATATGCAAATATTTTTGGCATAGAACTTTTTAGAAAGAAAGTGCAAGCTAGAGGCTTAGTAGTTTGTTTTGGTGGCTATCCCAGATAATTCTTTCTTTCTGTGCTGATTACATTTAGAGATTTGTGTAATGGGTATGTTTCATCCCCCAGTGTGATCCTTCTTGCGTACTGTGTGAAGAAACTCAGGTCTTGGGCAGGATGGGTCCAGATCCGAGCTTGCCTGATGACCAGCACAACCAAAATGCCCAGCCAATGTGAATTCCAATAGTTTATGTTAGGCTTGGGCTGTGCAACAATACTTTCAAATTCCAGGCAAACAAAACCAGGATGGGTTCTGATCAGAGGCTGCCTGATAGCCGGCACAAGCAAACTGCCAATGTGAATTCCACTAGTTATGTTAAGCTTGGGCTGTGCAAAAATTCTCCAAAATTCCAGCCAAAAAAGCCTCCAAATCTTGCTTCAACCACTCAGGGTATTTCTCTTGGCATCATGAGGACAAAATAACAAGATAGGTATTTGTTCTCTATCTAACACGAATAAGATCCAATAAGCAAATAAGATAGGTATTTGAAATTGCAAGCCAAGATTGCAATGAAGTGCCCGGCTTGTGAGATGCACTTTCAATTTCTGTAAAATGGAGGCCGTGAGGTCATGAGTGTTGGATCGAAGCACTTACTGTTGCACCAAAACCCGCAAGTATTAGTGAAGGCGCAACTTCTTTCTTTTAACTAGCTCAACATCAAGCGCCCACTGGTCAGGTTGGTTAAACCCTCCAACGAGTATCAGGAAAACTTGTTGCACCTCTACTCCAGGCCAACAAAGAGGACGATAATGGATGCAGATTAGGGTTTTCAAATACAAAAATTACAAACAGAATCATATTCTTAGGTGAAAGTATGCACGATATTAAGTTAAGCCTCCATGGTAACCTACCATCCAATGGTTGAAAATAAATCACAATCTTTTTCTTCAATATTCTATACATAGGAATGGATCGGGCTTCAAGTTGGCTTGGGCTTCACAAACACAACCAAAATTGTAGCTGAGTTGAGAGTTTTCACTTTCCAGCCCAAGACCAGTCCTGAGTTAAAGAAAATTGTGCAGGACCAAGGAAATTTTGTGGGCTCGAGCTGTTAAATTGGGCCCGACCAATTGAAGGAGTTAATATGTGTGCTTGGGTTATGCTTCCTTCAAGCTTTCTTCAGTGATAATTTACTTATCATGGAACAAGAAAAACCACTCCAATAGACACCAATGGTGTCTATGAACCTTGCAGCAATCCAACAAGTATATCTCTTTAGCATCCAGTAACCTAAAGCCAGATATGCACTCCTGGCAGTATGAAAACTGCCTAGTGTAGTACTAACAAAGCCAACCATTTTAGTGTATATCAATGCACATTCACAGAAATCTGAAAGAACTGGAATATAATGCAGAAGACTAGACTCTTAAAGTTTTTATCATGTCACATGCCTAAAACAGGGAACCAGTGCATTCAAACTGAATTCGTCTCATTATAATGGCCTAACCCATGCGAAATAGTTTACACATAAAAACTGAGCATTGCTGGAAAAATCAGGCAACATAATGAAAACAATGTATTAACCTTCTTCGAATGCACAATATATAAGTCATTAAGACTTCATACCTGCACAAATGTCGAAATTGAGAGAAGGGCTTCTCACCAACTTTCTGGCGCCTAGCCTGCAAAATCAACCACAACATGAAGATTAAAGTTCATGCAGGCCAAGAATTACAACAACACAAACTGGAATTCACAAGGTTCGAGATTAAAATGTCAAAAGGCATAGATGTCGAAGTAACAAGTGTTATATAATGATTGTCTATACACTTTGAGAAGCTCCACAAACATCTTTTTATAAGATATACCATTTCTTATTTCATCTATTGATAAATAATCCACATTACATTTTATGACATATTCCACTCTGCACGTTTGCAATTATCCGACAAGAGTACATCGACAATCTTCACCCACTGTTTTTTGGCCTTTACAGTTCTAGTCGCCAATGATCAGCATCATAATGACAAATCTCACTACTTGGTCCTCAAAACTACCACAATCCTCCAAAGTACTAGCAAGGATCAAAATTTTGTTTTGGTGCATAATTTCAGCATGCTTGGAAATGAAATTATTTGGGAAATGGTTCAGAAATATAAGCGAAATGGAGAAAAAAATTGGAATTGTAATTCCAAAATATTCTAAAACATTGACCGAAACATTCCAAAAGAACCCAAAACAATCCAAAATACTTTAAAACATAGGAATTTTGATATTCAATCACTGATTCATCCCGATTTTAGTTTTGGTAGAAACAAAAAGAAATTTTGATCCTTAAGTATTCATCAACTCACTTCTAACATGCTTTATTAAATTAAAAAAGTTTCCCCTTGCATGGTTTGGCCGTAAAAAAAAATTAAGGAATGAGTGAACTCAAATTTATTCAAAATTCTCTCAAAGTCTGTCTTAGTTGAACAAATACAATTCGCAAATATTCCAGAAGATTAAAGGAAAACATGGGAAGATATTGACAATGACAAAAAAAATAAAATGTACCTGGATCAAAAGCATAACAACTGCAAAGAGAACTTTTGCACCCTCGGTAAGAAAGTTAACACTAACGGGGCTAAATTTAAAATTCCCATCCACCTTGGACATAAAAACCAAAATAGGCTGGAAAAAAAAAAAACAATAATGTAAGGCAAGATTATCAATACTCAGCAAAACACAAAACAATATGTTTCACGTGGAGATAAGCAATTAATAGGTACATCAAACGTATGCTAAGCCTTTTTCAATACGGGCTTTAATCAATGTACTTCAAAACCAATACGATGCATTTAGTACATATATTTTACTTTCTTTTCCCTCCTCTATAAACAAAAGCGAGAGCAGTCAACCGCTTACACAATAGAAAGAGTTAAGAGGAAGAGTGTGTGTGTGTCTATCAAGAGTGTAGATTTATTTTTACTTTTTTTCCTCTTTTTATGCAGATGTACAAAAACACATTAAGAATAGAGAAGGAAAACAAACTAAGGAGACTTTGGAATCCTTCTAAGTAAACACATATGAAGTAAGACAGACTAGGACCCTCAAAAATCTTAAGTTGGGTTAAAAAAATAACTAGTCTGCAAACCAAAGTCAACTAGAAAATTCACTCTAGCTTTGGGTGACGAGGAGTCCAACAAATTTAAGGCATTGGAAAATATGCCAAAACTCAGCCACCTGTTATCAAAGCCATAAGAGCCGATGGAGGTAAATCTGACCAAACAAAACATCACCTCAGAATGCCCCTCAATCTATGAGTTGCATATGGCTTTCCTAAGAACTTCCAAAAGAGCACAGATGTCCATGACAATTGACAAAGCCATAATAGCGAGATAGCAAACGTCAGCCACATTTGCTAGATAGCAAAAGTGGGTTAGAATTTCCACCATCGCCATTGAACAAACCTAAATACCTTATTGGACTATTGATCTTCATTCTTGCCTTCTTGTGGTGGTGCCATGCAAGGGAAACAACCACAAGCTTTGCAATAAGGGAACTCACAAGTCATAATTATCGAATCACTCACATAAGCAACCTAATGCTTGCAGATTTTTGGAAATAAAGAACTCAAATAGAAGCAGGGAAAAGACTCCCATCCTAAATTTACATTAAATTGACTAGCTAAAATCCCATTCTTCTATCAAAGTACACATCGACTTTGGATACAAAAAAGTTGATCTACCTTTCCTTACAAAAGGACTGAAAGATCTCCGAATAACCATTGGATGACTGGCTAATATCACATTCATCAAGAAGGTGGAGGTATAACTCCTTTAGAATAGCTTATAGAGGCTTTGGCTAAGGGATTTTACTAAACCATTATTGAGGTTCAATGTGCTGTGGCTGGATGAGTGGCTACTATAGATTGTGTTCATAACAAATTGTTACTGGATAAGAGAGAATTCAGATGATCAGATCTATCAACTATGTTATGGCTGAAATCAAATGGGAACCCAAATTACCAAGAAGTATGGTAAAAGAAGAGTGGCTTGTTTGTTATCTATCGATCTCTTTAGCGTGAAAGTATGTATTTTAGTATTTATGCTAAATGGAACTTTCTTTTTTATGTTTTCTTACAGAGGAATAACAAGGGTTCTTTCCCTTCATACTTTGTGCTACTTCTCCCACAAAATATTTCACATTTGAATCAATAACTATTGAAAGAGGTCAATAAGCACTTTGCCCCCTTCAAAGATTAAAAGCCTCATATTGCACTTCGAACTTCTTCAAATGTTAGCAATGTGCCCCAAAAGAAACATAGTTTGTTTTACCATCACTTCACATAAAACTTCCAAACAAAAGAAAACAAATGGCGTGCTGCTTTTGGACACAGTTCTAAATATTTTAGAACAAGAAGAACACCTAAATCTACTTTTCTTAGCCATTCTTCAATTTGGACAAGTGTAAGTCACATGCATCTTAAGAGGGATCGCTGCTTTTCGACCTACAAATTATTTTCACATTTCTCTTCTTCATTAAGGTACTTCCGGAATTGAAAATCCGTAATCCCCCATTTCCATTTTATTCTTCTTCTCATTTTTTTTGTTCTTTGATATCTTCATCATGCGTAGAATCCAGTGTTTTCAATATTCCTCATATATGTAACAAGTTTTTCAAGATTGAAGTGTATATTCTGTATTGGAAAATAAAGTGATACGCAGTCCAAAAAACAAAGAGCTGGCAATTGATAAACACAATGCTGAAGAACTAAATGAACCACTAGGAATGAAAATTTTCTTTCAGTTTGTATATTGCATGTTAATTTTTTAACCATAAACCTTCTTACAGAGAAATTTAAAAATCAAAAGCAATTAAATTCTGGCACCAATTTTTTTCCAAAAACTGCTATGACCCTTCTTCAAAAAATACATATAGAAAAGCTCCCCTAATCCTTTTAACAAATAACTACATGTTTATGAGCAAATCCTGACAAATTGTCCTATCGATCTCATAGACTGAAGGCAGGTCTTAAACTGTTGACGATTCCACAAAACAATACATGTCATGTGAGAAAATTATTTGCAATGAATAAAGATCCCTGTCAATCGATCATGTTAGCTACAAAATAGTTGCCCTCTAATTCAAACCCAAAAATTCTCGGCCATTAGCCCAACACTTGCACGACTGCACCATGAAATGGCCCCTAAATTATCAGAAGTACGTGGGCAAGAACGCAAGCGAAAAATGCATTGAGAAAAGACAACATCCTGGAAAGAAGAGGAGATATTGGTCTTTCGAAAAATCAATATGCTGGGAGACTACAAGGTTACTAACTATTGCTTATCAAAGAAATAGTAATGCGTAGAGAAATGGTAGTATGGCTTGTAGAAGTAGAAAAATTCAAATAACCTAACCACGGTTCCACTTGGTTTTGAAACAATTTGCCTCCTTAATTGAACTTAAAGACCAGAAGTTCTTCCAAATAAATGGGTATACCAGGAAAATGTCAAACATGTGCCACATTACCAGTCAAATCTCAAGTAAATTAGTATTTTATGATAAACATGATCAAACAACTACAAATGAATAAAAAATGACAATCACCTGTAACCCAACTAAAATACAATCCCCGACAACCAATAGAACATTGAGGGCCCGTTGCTTCGACGATATCTTGCTCCTGTGTTCGTCATAAGCCCTTGACACTGTCTTTGTAGTTGGGGAAAGCAGCTTGGAATGACAGACGCTGCACTCTATCATCCCGTTCTTCGTCAATCAGCTCCCCCACAACTCTCACTTTACATCAAAACTAAACCTGGAACGAAGACCGACAATATACAAATCTTCATTTATACGTAAGATCCACCAATTAATCCAGTAATTAAACATGTCTATAATCAGATTGCTCCCTGGGAATAATGGCGAAGTTGAGAGTAAATAGGAGCAGGTGCCAGGAATTAAATCACATTTCATCACGGGTTGCTAAGGTGGTGAAAAGGGTTGATATATTCTGCGAGTAAATTTTTATTTAACCATAGTGGTTCAATCAATAATCAGCTAAACTTGAGCAACACATCAATGTATCACACAAAAATAATGAGATTTTAAAGAATTAACAAAAACAGCAGCAGTTGTTGAACTGGCAATCCGACTTTGTACAGAAAATAAAGACCTACATGGGGTCGGTCTGAGTGAGTGTGTGTGTATATATAAATCTATATTACGTGAATGGGTTCAAACTCAAACAGAATTGAAAGGAAGTTGTACCGGATCATGGCGTTTTCAAATATAGTACAACAGTATATGCCAATGCATTCAATTTGTATTAGCATATTGAATCAAAAAATGAAATCTCTGACAGAGTAAACACAATAAACAAAATTAAATTGAGCTACAAAGACCAGATCTTGCAAATTTAGAAACAAATGGAGCTTTATTACATCGGAAATTGATCACCGACCTTAACTAGATGAACTGCCTGATGAGCATGTGGTCGTTTAATGAAAGAACACAAAAAGGGTCGCCGGCGGAGAATTTCCCGGTTGGATCTGGAGGCCCCGGCCACAGAAATTCAAATGCCGAAGGTAGTAACTGTAAGAACTGTAGAGAGCGTAACTGTAGAGAGCGTAATTAAGACGCAGTCGAAGTTTTTAGTTTGTTTTGTGCTTTTAAAAGGCACGAGAATTGAGTTGTGTTATAACAAGATGCGAAGAATATGCGCAGGCATAGAGAGAGAGAGAGAGAGAGTTAAATCATAAATGAAGTCTTCTTCTCTCTACTTTCTCTCTCTAAAAGTAGCCACCTACTCTCTGTTTATTGTATACATGAAAGCTTTCGCTTAAAATTCACAGCAGGGTCTCTCTGCTATTTTTCTTATTTTCTAGAATGAAGTTGCCTTTTTTGCAAAGGAATATGGATTTGGAATGTCTCATTACCAGTTTTTATCCATTGCAATCAAATTTAAAGTAATACATTATTTTTTGTATTGAGTCTATTCAATCGAGAGATATCTTCGAGACAATCTCGAGTCTACTGAAATAGTATCAAAATAAAAAGTGTTAAAACTAATACAACTAATTGAACTGTATCAAATTCGGCTGAAATAATAACCCCAAGTCATGTCACATGAGCTCAAACTCTTAACCCAATTGACAATTTTAAATTTAATTTATTTATTGGGTAACACCGTATATTCACGGGGCTTATAATGAAAATACAATAAATTTGTTCAAAATAAATAAAATTCGAATTTTATTTAAATTTAAATAAAATTCAAATTTAAATTTGATAAATACAACATATTATTTTGAATGAATCATATTTAGATTCCTTGAGATTTGCAAAATCTAATTTTTTTGAGTTTTATCTGCCATTTTTCGCCCCTACGCTTCTCCACCTCCACCACCCCTCTATCGCGACCATGACCGTCACACCATCCATTACGCACATACAATGTCATCCACCACTACCGTCTCACATAGACACTCGTCCACAAATGACCACGAACACAATCTCTGCCACTGCAATGCGCCCATCATCACAATCATCACAAGCACGAGAATCTACCAGTCACCGCCACACCACCACCAATCTACCTTTGTCGAAGCCAATTCCCTCAGACCACATCAATTGCACCCACTAACCCCTTTCCCCATCACTAATTTCTCTTCATGAGGTTCATCCATATAAATGTCATTAATTTTTTTCTCTAGTCAGTTGGCTTGGCTGCGATTTTGATTCTCCATCCAACAATTGACAGAATTGTGGCCCTTTTGGTTTGGGGGGTGATACTTGTAGTGAGATTGAGGTTAATTGGTGAAAGGGTCGTGGTGAAAAGCATAAGAGAGAGAAGGGCTGTTGTGATGATATTTCTTTAGGGAGTGGTGGTCCAACGGGGTTATGAAAGTTGGCGAAGATAAGGTGTGGTGGCTGGGCAGAGGAAGAAGGTCATCAATGGTTTGGATTGATTAGGGGGTAACGGGTGTGCATAGGTGCTTTGCGACTTTTGTGTTTTTGTGTGTATGAGAGAGAGAGAGAGAGAGAGAGAGAGAGAGAGAGAGAAGGCTAAGCATGGTGGTCAACAAGAGGTGGGACGGTTGCTTTTGAACAAGATGAAGGAATGAGAAGGCATGAATTATTTCTGGGTTGTTTGGCATATGGTTTGAAATTGTTCAGTGGCTGGATTAAGTTTTGGGCAATTGGTAAGGGGTAATTGGTCTTTTTATTGTTCTTGTTACTTCTATTTAGAAACCGATATAGAGAAGGTGTGTCGGTGTAAATTATCATACCTGAGGGGTCAATGTGTTTTAGTGACAAAGTTTAAAGGGTTTAAATATAATTAATCCTATTATTTTCTTTCATTCATTAATAGAACAAGTACAATCGTGTGACATTTTTGTCTTTACATTCTCTATGAAATTAGTTGCATTTAAGAACAAGATAGAAAAATATCTGTCACTTTGAGATATGGTGCCCCCTTGATTCCGACAACTCCTCGTTAGTTAATGAAACACCCCATCTAAAGCATGTTTAATGCAACTCCTCCTTAGTTAATGCAACTCTAGAGGAGGGGGAGAATTTTAGAGCAAAGGAGAGATGGGAGCCGGTGGGGTAGAGGTTGGGGCTAGTGGGTGTAGGACTAGGTGCACAATAGGGGATTACTGGCAGTTCCTACCTAGATAGTTTGGCATGACCCTGGTATCCGGATTTTGGAAATCAATCTTGGGTGAACACTTAAATAAGTTTTCATTATTTTTTTCCAACAACAAAAATAAGATGATACATCTTTATTCACTAGAATAATATTTTGATAGTAAAAATATAATAGGATTAAATATATCTATACTATTTATACATAGCAACATTTGTAAAAAACTTTTATGTTCTTATTTTATCCCTAATCATTATGATAAAGTCGACTATATTTGATTATATACTTTCGTCTAATTTGTATTTTTTTACTCCTATTTAACTTTCAATTTATTATTGACTCTTTTAAATTGATGATGACTTGGATGGATTTGTTGAAAACGAGAGTTGAATTGAAGTAGTTCTGGTTCTTCTATCTTTAATTTAGTAGATTTGTTGAAAATGAGGGTCGAATTAACGTTGTTATCATTCTTTGATTTGATAATGACTTTGTTGGATATTTTCATTGTTTTATTTTTATTTGAAGATGATTTTAATCTTTTGAAGAAGGACCTTGCTGATCTATTATTCTCCTCAGAGATGAACTTGCAAGATTTCAGCCGGAAGGAGACTTCAACAGACTTTGCTTCTAATCTTCCCTTCTTCTTCTGATATGGACTAGGGTAGAACTTTCTTAATCTTCCCTCCTCCATGGCCTCCTCTTGGCTTTCTTCTCCTCGGCCTCCTTCTTGGCTTTCTCCTGTTTGGCCTCCCTCGTATTATTTGTAGTGTTGGGAATAGTTATCCTACAACAATATACCCTTGTGCCACCCATATTCATTTAAATTTATGGGCTTTAATGAATTTATATTACTTCAACTTATGGAATTTAGCTCCAACTCAATTTATCTTTAAAAGTCTTTTTAATTTTGTCTTATGGAATTTCAATCGATAACAGCTTAATTTGTTCTTTGGACTTATAAAATTTAGGTCAAATCATATATAATTTAGAAGTCTATTTAATTAAATTTGGGCTTAAGGAATTTAAGTTCATAACAATTAAGTGCAAAAACTTTTTAGATTTGAGTCGAATAATAGACATTATTTTATTTAATAATTTTTTAATGTCTACACTTACTGCTTTACATGAGTCATTGCTAAAAGATGCTAGGTTCACTTTGCCTATTTGTTGGCATATCATTGGACGGGTGACATCATATAGTAATTCTGATATGATTTAACCATTACAACGAATATTTTCTTGTATTTTGGGGTATACATAGCCATTATATTTGAATTTTGCAATGAAACTGCCAAAAAGATAGATTATTTGGTATAGGCTTTCACATGACATATTTCATGACTTGTGCTAGTGCTAGTGCTCAGACATGAGATTCAGGAGAAATATCACTTAGCAAACCCGATATGAGCCTGAGATTGAAGACTTCACACTGCAGCGGCAAGAGAGACAGAGAAGAATAAGATCTTCTAAGCAAGTGCATTAGTGCAGGTCAGACTTCAAGACACCAACTAGCAATGCCTGGGGTTTTAGACACTGTATTTTTGGATTAGGAACATTTTCAATGGGCCTGGTGGAAAAATTTTGGAATTTGATTAGATGCCCAGTGATCGTCGAGTCGAGCAAATCAATCTAGAAGACTAATTGATGGGCTGGGCTAGCCATCTAGGGTGCACTAGACTTGAGTGAGTTGTATGTTGAACAAATATCAGCTAATTATTGTTCAAATGATAGTATTATACTATATCATCTTTATTATTCGACTGCTGATTTATTAGGTGAGTATTCTTTAAATCCTCAATTTTCCTAATGGGACTTCTTTTAAATTTGTTGCTCACAACAAATAGTTAGAACCTCTACAGTTAGAGAGGTTTGTTGACGGCAACTGGGTATTGGGAGAAGGGGTGTTTGGCAAAGCGGTGTGTTTATATGTGTGTGTGTACTTGACTAAGCAACTACAACATTTATGAAAACATCATGCTTGGAATCGTGTCAAGTATATTGAAACATATCGGTCAGTGATTAGTTGGTTTGGTTGCTGAATAATGAATGGGTTGTATAGCCGATTGACCTATTAGTAGGTCGATTGCGTAGATTTGACAATTTCATAAATACCATTATAATTTCAAAATTTCAAACTCGACAATTGAGCTCAACTCGAGCTCGGCCTATTACAATAGGGTTCAGTATCGGAGCTTGATAAAGCAACCCTCCCCCAAGATCTAAATGTAATTCCAACTATATCATTTTTCAGTAAGTATTCAAACTATATTAGTTAAAAATTGTTACGCTAAATCTATTACTTCATCTATTAGCAAGTTTACATGAGCCAGCTTTGAAATAAGCTCTTCTGTCAAGAAAAATCATACAATGTGTACGTATACTTCAAAGATCTTAAGATCAGAAAGTAGTTTTCTGCCTCATCCATTTTGTAGCTGACCACTTCTCCCCTGACAGTACTTCACACCCTCCATGTAAGCTGTTTGGGTCAGATTGTCCATCGAGCCCCTGAAAACACAAAGACAACAAAGTTCAGAAGTGGGGCAAACAAGCATCAAATGTATCGGAAGATGTCGTGGTTGAATGGCATTGGAAGTTTGGAGACCACTTACAAAACAATGGAGACAAATAGTTATGTTTACATGGCCGACAAATAATAGTCAAGAGTTTAAGTAGACGTCAAATTTTTATAAGGATGGTTTTATTTTGAGTATACATTACTCCCAATGCAGTTTATTTTTTTCAAATAGAAGAAAAATTGAGGTTCATCTTAATTTCAATACTATTGCACACAAGCATGCAAGCATTATATCATTAACTGTGAAGACCTGCACAGGAACATAATGGGAATGAACTTGCTGAAAGCAAAGAAAATAAGTAGGAGAGTCTGTAAATCTGTAGTTATCAATATTGGGTTTTTTTGTTGTTGTCGGGGAATTATAAAACTAACACAACCGAAAAAAGCTAATTAAATCAGTGGACATCTAAACTCATCCAATCAGGGTATCACTTGTTACTTAGAACGAATCAACAAGAATGAACCCAGGAAACCAACCATGCTCCAGAAAAGCACTGCATCTCCTTTAATGGGTTTAACACATAATCCTTTCACCATTTTCCCACCGCAGCTGCATTCACCCGAACCAGCCTGATATCATTCAAAGATTAAAAAACACCCACACAATGCGAAGAACTTGAAGCATTACAAACATACAACTAAAAGATGGAAGGATGATTCAATGTAAGCAATGTGATACTTCATAAAGATAACACTAAACACAAGCATAGACACTTTGTGGATAGTAAACAATAATGAGCAGTTTTCCAGATAAACCAATCCACCTCAAATTTAAGTAAGTACCTCATATGAAGCGTGCACGCATCACTAAAAATTGATTGACGATTATGGCATGAAGACCGGTAGTTTCAATTGCATACTTCTCAAAAAGAGCATCATAGCTGATACGCCTAGTCTATTAGGTTGGCAATTTCATGGCTTGTACAATAACTTGGTCCTTTGATGAAGACATCCAATCCAATTAAAGAAGCATGTACAAGCCTCAGGGGATTGGATGATTCCCTGAGCTTCAAGAAGTCTACCGGGCTTTACAAGGCAGGCTGCATCGAGGTTGAAGATTCTGACTCATAGGGATTGCACCTTGGATCATACAATCAACTGAGAGTTTCCCAGTCGACTGACCCTGGAGCCTTTCCAGTCGTCTATGAGGCTTGGATTTCAAGAGTCTAGCCGTTACAAATAACCATTAGCCTCAACCCAATAAATACTCGCACATCTTCTTCAGATGCAATTGATGGCTAAAGGGTTTCTCTAAAACATCACTTACATAAACTTTCGGATTGATAAAGAATGGGATTTTCCATTTTACCCTTTCATCCATTAGAGAGTTCAAGCAGAAGTTTGAAGATTCTAAAGCTTGGCTTTCTTTGATTCCGGAGGTAATATTATCTGAACCCGTATCCTTCATATGCTCAATAGGTTACCACTCATTTGGCAGACTCTTATGAAGTAGGGAGGCTTAGTTCCAGTGGGAGGTTTATAAATCTGCATTGAGCTTAACATACGACCCATATGTTTAGCCATTATCAATAAAGATAACATAATATATTTTATAAGAATTGATTGAGTTATTAACATGGAGCCTCTTATTACTTGTGCAAATGGAATGGTATCCTAGACTTCTGCTAATTCTATCCGTGCTTTTTCCTTTCTTTTGTTCTCTTAAGTGTTGCTTATTGAGAAAGGTAGGTTAACTTATAGGAGCTTCAAGAAACCTTCACCAAACTCTAGTTAAGTGCCTTGCATGGACTTAGTTTAGGTCAGTTGGTGGACCGTAGAAAACCTCCAAAAATCTTATATAAAGTTGGTTCTAGGTTGGATAGTGGTTTGCCCATTTGTGAACCATGAGCTTGTTGGGTTCCCTTGAAAACCCATTTGGTGAGGTTCAACTGGTTATATAATTAACAATAAAAAATAATTAGTAATACTTGAAATAAACGTGAGTGAAAAAGGGATACAAACTAAGTGTAGAGCCCCCGTATACAAACTAAGGTAAAAAAGGAAAACCCTAATAACTTATGCTATAACTCCAACACTCTCCCTCAAGTTAGGCGCAAAAATATCAACTAAGACAAGCTTGACAACAGAGTCCTGAAGAATGGATAGAGTGACAGGTTTGGTGAAAACATCCGCAACCTGATCACTAGTCCCCACAAACAATGGAGTGATAATACCACAGTTAACCTTCTCCCGAAGAAAGTGAACATCGATCTCTATATGCTTCATCCTCTCGTGTAGTACAGAGTCAGAAGCAAGCTAAATAGCAGACCGATTATCACAATATAATGTGGATAGAAAAGTCATTGGAAATCCCAACTCGTCAAGAATCGATCGTAACCAGATAATTTCACATCTGCCAAGTGCCAGTGCCCGATACTCTACCTCTGCTGACGAGCGGGAGACAACTGGCTGCTTCTTGCTCTTCCAAGAGATAAGATGAGCCCCTCGAAAAGCACAGAAGCCCGTAGTAGATTGACCATCACACGCTCCCCCATAATCTGAATCTGAATAACAAGCTAGAGAACCAGTCTGAGATCCTGATGCATAGAACAACCCAAGTCCAGGACAAGACTTGAGGTACCGAAGAATATGATAAATTGCATCAAGATGAGACTGACACGGTTTGTGCATAAACTGACTAACTCGACTGACTGCGAATGAAATGTCTGGCCTTGTGTTGGCTAGATAGATAAGTCTACCTACCAACCTCTGATAGACAGCCGGATCTTTCAACTCTTCACCTTCAATAGTAAGCTTCAGGTTTGGAATCATGGGTGATGATGCCGGTTTGCACCCCAGCATCCCAGTATCTGAAAGAAGATCCAAAACATACTTTCTTTGAGAAAGAACAACACCCCTGCTGCTACGGACAACCTCAATCCCAAGAAAGTATCGTAGAAATTCAAGGTCAGTCACATCGAAGGCCTTCCCAAGGTCTACCTTGACCTGCGCAGTCCCAGAAACATCATCCCCGGTAATAATAATATCAGCAACATATACCAAAAGGATAACACACTGTCTAGAAGTATTCCGCCGAATAAAACAGGTATGATTAGAATGACATCTGGTGAACCCCAAACATATAACTACATCACTAAATCGAAAGAATCAGGCTCGTGGTGACTGTTTCAGTCCATAAAGAGACTTATGCAGTTGACATATCTTCCAGCATACTCCCCCTCACCATGAAAGCCCGGTGGTGCATCCATATAAATAATCTCGTCCAAATCATCGTGAAGAAACGCATTCTTCACATCTAACTAATGAAGAGGACAAAAGTACTCTGCAGCTAGAGAAATAATTAACCGAACAGTAGTCAATTTTGCCACAGAGGCAAATGTAGCACCAAAATCACGACCTGGTACCTGAGTAAAGCCCTTCGCCACAAGTCTAGCCTTGTGATGATCAATAGTACCATCCGCAAGAAACTTCAAGGTGTAAACCTAGCGACAACCAACAGGCTTCACCCCTGAAGGTAAAGAGACAAGATCTCATGTATGATTACGCTGAAGAGGGTCCATCTCCGTCTGCATGGCAAGAACCCACTGGGGCTCTCGCATAGCCTCTGAAACACAGCGAGGAACCGGCGTATCTGATAAGGCCATACTATAAGCTCAAAATATAGGAGACAAATCATCATAAGAAATATAAGCAGAGATCGGATATAAAATCTTGGCGGTCCAACCATAACGATCAACTGGACAGCGATTACGCCACGGATAATGACGCCCTAAATCATTATCCTCCACTAACAATGTCTCATCAGGTAATGTAACTGGCTCAGTACCTGCAATCTCATCAGTACTAACAACAGGGACATCAATATGCTCAACGAACTCAAAAGTATTACCTACATCGCCTGAGGTAGAGGGGATATCAGCAGGGGATGAGAGCGAGGACGACGATCATAAACCTGCAAAGGAAGAGAAACTAGTGACTCTGGCTTTGGAGGAGAAGAGACTGATGACTCTATAGTGATAGGGATCAATGGCTCTGGCTCTTGTGGTAATGAAAAATCAAAGGGAGTATCATCAACTGGGGGAAAGACACAAGATTGGAAGAAAAATAAGGGAATATGCTCAAGAAAGGTAATATCTAGACTGATACATACGACGCCTGATAAGATCATAACACCGATACCCCTTAAACTGATGACAATAGCCCACAAAGATACAACGAATCGCTGTATCATCAAGCTTATGGCGAGTAGGAGACCGATCCTGAACAAAATATGTGCAGCCAAAAACACGAGGGGGGACAGAAAAAAGTGTCCACTCAGGGAATAAAACCTGTAAGGGAGCCCTATGCTGAAGAATTCAACTCGGTGTACGATTGCACAGAAAGGTAGAAGTCTAAACAGCAAAATGCCAGTAAGATTTTGGTACCCCCATACCTCGAAGCATACAACGTACCATCCTTATCAGACTCCTATTTTTTCTTTCATCAACTCCATTTTGCTCAGGAGTATATGGACAAGTGAGCTACTGAAGGATACCCTGTGAAGAAAGGTGAGACACTATGGCATTATCCGAACGAAGAGCATGAACAATGACATCGAATTGTGTCTTAATCATCTGGAGAAACTGAGTGATGACAGAGAGTACATCAGACTTCCTATACAAAAGGTAGACCCAAGTACAATGGGTATGGTCATCTATAAATGTCACATAGTATCGGGCACCTGACAGAGCAGTAACAGGAGAAGGTCCCCAAATATCCAAGTGTATTAGGTCAAATGGTTTGGGTGACTGGTGCATGCGAGGAATACAACTGGTCCGAACATGTTTTGATAGGGAACATATAACACAGTCAAGTTTACTACTAACACAAGCTTTGCTCAAAGCAGGAAATAACATACATAAATATTTAAAATTTGTATGTCTAAAATGGTCATGCCACAACTGAACAGTTTGTAATGAAAAATCATAATGACAAGTATTAGGTAAAATACTAGTATGTAAGCTAAGAACAGATAAAGACAAAATAGGTGATGGAGGTGGAGGTGGAGAAACTGGTGAAATAAAAGGTGGATTGCCTAAATAATACAATCCATCTCTCTCATATCCCCTGATAATAATCCTCCTGGTACTCAGGTCCTGCAAATAACATGAATCAGATAAGAACACAAACCACACAGTGAAAATCTCTGGCTAATTGATGTACATATAATAGATTCATAGCCAGCTTTGGCGCATGAAACACCGAACGTAATGTAAAGCCATCTGGGAGGCAGACTGTACCCTTACTAACAATAGGGGCATGTGTACTATTTGCTAACTGAACTTGAGTATGTAACTGCTCGTCAAAAGAGGTGAAATGATGGGCCTCACCTGTCATATGACCATTAGCACCCGAGTCCAGCATCCAAAGAGGAGATGGACTGGCGCAAGTATGAAAGACACGAGGTATACCTGTAGTAATGACAACAGTAGTAGTCGAACCTGAGAAGTCAAGGCTATATAATTATATTCAAGCGAGAAGTGATAACA